CTCTTTCTCCATCTTGGTTTCTTTTTTAAGCTTTTAGCAGCAAATGATGCTTTTTTTCTATATCAAAAGCTTTCAAATCTGTCATAGAAAACAAGGAATTACCTTGCTCAGGTTTGATTCACAATAATCTTGATTACTAAACTGGCATTTCTTCAGTCAAAGCCCTAGGAAACTAATAAGACGGCCTACAATAAGGTAGATTAACTTAGTCGCTTCCCTCTTTTCTCTTTTTTTATAATGTTGGTGATTTTTTCTTAATGAGCTGTTATAGAGGAGTCCAAACAGAAGCCTATTGATGAAGGTCACTGTACATCTTCTCCATTCATTAACAACCAAGAAACTATTTTGGACCCTTTAAATAACATCCAAACATCCCTTATAGACCTGTCCCAGTACAGGAATATCTGTAAAGCATGTATATGTACAAAGTTCTGGCAAAGCAGCCCCAGTTAGATCAGTCAGGATCTTCCTTATACAGTAATGAAGACCAAGCGGAGACTTATGCCTGCATTGTTCTATTAAGTTTCCTCTTTCGTTTCCATATCACAGCATGCTCAGTCAAAGCTATTTTGGTGCTTCACTGATGAAACTGATTTTTCCCTTTGATGATAATATGAAATATGATAGGATAATAGGGTTGTTATATAATCAAAGTCGACAGCAGGGAGCTAAATTTGTGTTGTTTTGATGAAGAGCACATTAGTGTGACATAAATAGACTAATCTGATTTATTATTATTATTTCTAATGCTTAATAATAGAGAAGGGTAGGAAAATGAGACTCTGGGGAATAAGGGTGCATCACAAAGTGATAGCAGGCATCTGTGTCCTACGGAAACACGGATTAGGTATTTTGGATATTAGGATGTCTTGTCATAAGCAGCACCACTACTACCTGCTTCTAGCTCAATCTCAAAAGAGCAAGTAGAGAGCAAGAGAGGTTGTTCTGGAAGAAATAGTCGTAAGTGGATATGCTGATTTTGGCTGGGATGGAGTTAATTTTCTTCATAGTAGCTAGTATGGGGCTATGGTTTGCATTTGTGCTGAAAACAGTGTTGATAACACAGCGATGTTTTAGTTACCGCTGAGCAGTGCTTACACAGAGCCAAGGCTTTTTCTGCTTCTCACACCACCCCACCAGTGAGTGGGCTGGGGGTGCACAAGAAGTTGGGAGGGGACACAGCTGGGACAGCTGACCCCAACTGACCAAAGAGATATTCCATGACATCATGCTCAGTAATAAAAGCCGGGGAAAGAAGAAGGAAAGGGAGACGTTCAGAGTCATGCTGTTTGTATTCCCATGTCACCGTTACATTTGATGAAGCCTAGCTTTCCTGATGATGGCTGAGCACCTGCCTGCAAAGGGAAGTGGTGAATGAATTCCTTGTTTTGCTTGGCTTGTGTGCAAAGCTTCTGCTTTACTTATTAAACTGTCTTTATCTCAACCCACGAGTTTTCTCACTTTTACTCTTCTGATTCTCTCCCACATCCCACCCAGGGAGGAGTGAGCAAGTGGCTGTGTGGTGCTTAGTTTCCAGCTGGGTTTAAACCACAACAGTGGAATAAAACTAATAATGTACCAGATAAAATATTCTGTGAAAAGCATTGCTGTAGGAAGAAAACTGGTATTCATGTAAGACAATAAGGAGTCAGAGATAGAGCAGACAAAAATCAGCTCACCTTTCACGGACTGATTTTTCATGTGTAACTGAAAATCAGGGATTAACCTTGGACAAAAGCTTCCTTTTCACGATACTATATATTCCAGTTCCAGACAGCCCGAGTCACTATTCACACATCAGTTAAGAAGAGGTATTTTGAGCATATTTTTGCCTGGTGTACTGATGTGTACACATGAGAGTTCTTGTATTTGTGGCTGCTCAAAAAGCAAAGTCCTGCAAGAGCTCATGCAAACGTCTAAATGTGTGCAGGCTTGCAAAGGAAATGTCTTGCCACTTTAAAATCTCATGTGTAACAAAAATATAGATTTGACAGAATTGTGAGTTCTTCAGGCAGAAAATAAAAACAAACAAACATATTTTAGAATCATAAGGAATGCAGATACATATTAGCAAAACTCTTTCCCACATACACGCTCATTAGAACTTTTAGACTTAAAAGTGCTACTGTGGACATCTACTCTGGCTCCTTCATATCAACATACATAGATTTCTTCAACCACATCTATAAACTTCATCTAAGCTAAATCAGAGCTTTTATAAAGCCATTGAGTTTTAATGAAAAGACTCTAAGTGGCAGATAACCCATGACGTGCCAAGGTAAGTTGCTCCCCTGGTTAAATACCCCCTCTACTAAAATTTACTCTTCATTTATGGTTACAGAGGGGAGATTGAGTAACAAATCAGCTAGAGTATGTAGCAGCTTTGAACTTCTGGAGTTCGACATAGGACATTTAAAGATTATTTTTATATGCAGCAAAAATAGATTTTTCCTCTTTTCTTAAAGGAAAAAAAATAAGGAAAAAGCTAATCAATACTTGATATGATGTAATTGTTTTTCACAAAACTGTTTAATTTTTTTCTTAAAAGTCCTGTTACAAAAGTTCTTCTTTGCTAGTCAGAGAGAATTTCACTCAAGTTCTGCAAAATCTCAAAATTTTCTTGCTTTTCTCCAGTGTCAGATACACCCACCAGTCATACATGATACAGATGTGTATATTCCAGGCATTCTTTTTCTTATTTCCTTAGGAGGAAAAATCCCCTATATTTATTTGCACTTCTGGGATACCACCAGCAAAGACTACAAAACTGAATTTTGACAGCACTGTGACCCCTATGGGCCATGCTCACAGAAATCAGTTTCTAGGTGGCCATCAATGAGGTGGTTTAACACATCCTGAAACTAGTTTTCTAGGTATGCTTCCTTCAGTATTTCTGCCATCAGCATTTGCCTTAGGATATGGTACCAGCAGCACAGCATTACCGCACCCAGCATGCTCTCCTAGTGTGTTGAACGATGTTATCCCTACACGTTAGGCAGAAAAAGTCCATCCTCATCCATCCTCATTAAGAATCCTGTTATTTCTTCATTAATCTTAATGGAGGTTTTCATGCCGCAGCAATATATAATCCCAAAGGAAGCTGCATAGGGGAGCCGAAGTCATGGATACTTGCTTTTCATTTACTTGTTGAAACACAGATATGAAAATTAGGAGAACATGAGTGTATTTTATATATCTAATAATTTAAAGCCAGTGAGAAGAGAACAGGGGAGGAATGTCATTCCTTATTTCTCCCTATTAATGTTCTTTATAAATGCCTATTTGAAAGGATATCAACATCCATCAGCACACAGAGCTCAGAGATGGGACTTGTACAAAACCACACCATCTAGTTTTAAGGAAAAAAAGAGGATTATTGCTTTTACACTGAGAACACAAAGTGGTAGAATCAGCAGTAGGCTATTAGTGCCAAAAAAAGGATGGGGTTTATATGGTGAATTAACACAGAAATCGATTTAAAAGTTAGGATTAAATCAGAGACAAAGGTGCAGGTTTATAAACCTCCCGGTCCTACGCCTGTCAAATCAAAGAAAAATCTGCCAAAGCACTAAATCCTATGTAATCATTGCAAATTCCTATTGTCTTAATATGAGCTGGATTAGGCCTCTAATTCAGTTCTGTAAAGTCTGTTTGGTCCAAATGAACAACCAAGCAATGGACAATCTCCAAGGAACAATTATACAACATGGTCTCAACATCCTCCACTACAACTTGCCAATGCAATCACTCCCAATGTTACCCTCCAAACACTGGAGTAAAACTGCTTTTGCCCATTACTGCTAAATGCATTTTGCCTTTCTGCCTAGCAAAAAAGCAATATCACATCTAATCTCACAAGTTCCCAGTGAGCCAAACACAAGATACTGTCCCTTGAATTCTTCCTGAGACCAACAAAGGCTTTCCATTATTTACAAATCAAAAGCATGTAGAGACAATCATCTTTATTTTTTATTTAAAACAAGGAATGCCCTGTCACTATTATATAAGAAAAAATATACATCCACCTATTTATACCCATCCTAATCCAAGCATTCCAAAAAATATAATTCCTATTCATGCAGGTAATTGCTGCACGAAATAATAATAATAATAATAATAATAATAATAATAATAATAATAATAATAATAATAATAATAATAATAATAATAATAATAATAATAATTTTATAAATAAAATAAAATTAACAAAAGACACTCTTTAGTTCCAACAATTCTCCCAATTTCTCTTAAAAATTCCACTTGCCAATTGTTGGAACAGTTGAAAACGATAAAAGTAAATATAGCTAAATCAATAGGATTATTTGCTTTTGATTATTAATTCCATTGCTAGTTTTTCTTGTGTTTTTATTATGCATACCAGTTTTACAAAGTGCATGCTTTATTTTATTTTTTTTTAAATTTTGAACTGGCAAGCTAAAATGATCCATCTTTTCCTGCCTTTTTTTAATGTTAATACAATCTAAAATCTAGCATTAAAAAATTTACCATGATACACCTGGTATATTGACTGCTTATGGCGCATGCTTGTCTTGGCAAAAGAAAAAAAAAAAAAACAAATTGGCTCCCCTCCCACCCTCCCCATTCCTTTTGGAAGCAATTTAAAAGTTAAAAGCAGGCTGGAACACAATTGCTTCAAGGGAAAAAAAATAATACCTGATGCTTTAATTTTTGTCACATGGCACTAGTTGTGGAATTGCACGCACACACACACGCACACACACACAACACACACACAAGCACACACGCAGTCTGCAACCTGCTCGTGAGGAAAATAGTTTATTAGGTCAGGAGTGCCAGTGGCACATGAAGGCTCCCAGCTGTGTGTGCAACTTTGGATTTGGTACCCACTTCATGTCACCTTGAATCCTCTGACATCCACCGAGGGGGTAATGTAAGGCATACTTTGCTGGAACAGTAATAATCCATGCTTCATGCTCAAGAGCTGAGTCTCAGAGGAGGACTGGCTTTCTCTACTCCCTTTGGCCTCTCTCCGTCTCACTCAAGGAACAAAAAAAACCCAAAACAACAGAGAAGAACTGGGGAAAACAAGGAAAGCAAAAGAAGACAAATCCCTTTAAATGGACTTTCGCCTTTTCATCAGCCTGTGGTTATCTGTAAAGCTGTGCAACCCAGGTGAGATGGAGCTGACAGGAGATGGGAAAAGGCTGTTTTTTAATGTGCTTGGAGAGATCTCCTCTATCTTGTAAGAGATGGAGTGAAAGTACTGGGGATTCAGCTTTGAGCTGAAGGAATTTTGGTGGGACACCACCCGGCTGGTGTACTCGTGGGACCTGTAACACATGCAGGAACAAACTGACTGAAGGTCTGTTACTTCGGCCTTGTAGCGTGGCCGACCATGCTGGGAGTCCTCTTGGATGTGAATAATCATGCTGTTGCGGTTCCCTGCCAGGGACGCCCGTTCCTCAGCATCCCGCCTCTCATCCTCGCTGTTCATGGTTAAGAACCTGAGAACAACCAGATTTAGAAATGCCCCAATGACTGTCAACCCCACTAGAATGTACATAAAGCTAAAAGCCACGTAGAGAGGCTTCTTTTGAAGGGCCCCTTTGGTCTGCAGGGCCACATAGTCTCCAAACCCTATCGTAGTCAACGTTATAAAGCAGTAATAGTAAGCATGGAAAAAGCTCCATTCCTCGTACTGGGAAAAGGCTGCTGCTCCAATGCAGAGTGTTCCCATGCAGGAGAAGAAACCCACAGTGACCATGTTTTCCATGGAGACCTCGGTGCTCCTCATCCCACAGCACTTTTTGATGCGTTTCAAGAGGTACTTGACGAAGGTGTTCATGCGCTCGCCCAAGCTCTGGAACATGACGAGTGTCAGTGGGATCCCCAGGACTGCATAGAACATGCAAAAGGCCTTCCCCGCATCCGTCCCTGGAGCAGCATGTCCATAACCTGGGAGGGGGAGTGAAAAGACAGGACAGTCAGCAAGGCAGGTGATGACCACAGCTCCCCCTTCATGCAAGCCACATGAACCGAAGAGACTCAGATGCCGCAGCCAGATCCAAAGCTATAGGAACAACAGAGTCAGTCTTCCTATCTTCTCACCCACATCCTGTATCCAAAGCAAATGAGACACAGAACAACAAAGTTGTACGTGCAGGAGTGGGAAAGATGAAAGAATGGGCAATCCATCCTACCTCAAACAACTGTGATGTCTCCTAAACAAGATTATATCACATTAATTCACTAAAGAATTTTCACGTCCATCCTGTATCACATGCAATAGTGGAAACTTTGGAAATAGGTTGACTTGTCCACAGTATTTTTGAGAGGAGTTGGTGTTACCAAGTTTCAAAACCAGAGTACATTAATGGCATCCAAATTCTGTGCTTGCTGGTGTCATGGAGTTAAAAACATCCACAGACCCACCAACCAAAGAAATTCCTTGACAAACTCTTCCGTACTGAACTAACCTTTCTCCTGGACACCCTATGAAAGCCACTCACCACTAGAACACTGTAGGACTTTAGGGGTTTCACGCCTGCTCTATCTTTAATTATTGAAGAATAAACAACTTACTAGCTTGTTTTATAGTTTTGCAGCTTTTACAGCTAGTCCGGCAAAGGCAGTTTTGTCAGGATTGTAAACTAATCCAGGACAGAGGATGTAGCACATTTCACACCATAGTTTACAGACAGTAAAATCATGACTAAACTTTTTTTCTAAATCAAACCATACGTGTGTGGGGGGGGCATCTGTTTTGAAATTATAATTTTACTTTTTCACATCACACTGCTTTAAAAATATATATTTCTTAAGCTACGTTTCTAAGTGACAGTAGCAAAGTCTCTAAAATGAGATAGATTGGATTCACCTGGCCATGGTGTGCATTGACCATGTAGGTGCCACTATCTAGACTCCCCTTAAAGTCAATGAATATGCACTTCCCAAGTGCAGTTTATCTCATCTACACCTAAGTGTCTAAAACAGGTCAATGAGTTATTCTCAGGAGACACATATTTCTCTGCAGTAATGATAGAAATCTTGGGATAGAACTCAGTTCAAGATTAATACCTAAATTTTGGTACCTACATGTGTGCTAGGTGTCCATGCTGCCATTACAGTCCACAAAGATTTAATGAAAAACAGCCAGTAGTGAGCTATTTAACTGACAATCCCAAGTCTACCTAACGGTGAGATGAAATGACAGTACTGACTGTTCCATTAACTGTGTTCATTAGGTCCCCACTAGACTGATCAGACATCTGTTGACTTAAGATGTCAGAATTTAGACACCTACTGCACAGGTAGACTACTACATGCAAACAGCTGAATGCAGGCATCTTAATCAAGAGTAGAGCTCCACCTTCAGTGACTAGCTCCAGTGTAGGTGCCTGCATTGTAGACACTAAGGGTTTAAATCAGCTTTACAGAAATAGGCATCTATCATGATTTGAGACCCCTGAGATATCAGGATATCCATAGAGGGCTAGCAGATGAAACACAGGGCATACAGCAGACCCACCCTCTCACAGATCAGAAGCTGGAGGCCAGACAGCACCTGAGATACTACTGAAGCAGGACCATTCCCCTTGCACTGCCTCAGCCCTGCCCATCACCTTTAGACTCAGATCATGGACCTGATGCTCTGAATTTGACCTAATCCTTACTTTGAAACTGTTGACACTGCCCACCTCCTCAATCTCTCTGCTGTGTAAAAAAGTACTTCAGAATTTCAAAAAGATCTTGTTTCAGCTAGTGTCCCTTAGATCTAGTATTAAAGTTCTAGATCTACCCTGTTTTTACCTAAAGCTAAACTCAGCCTTATCTCTGCTCTCAGTTTTCTCCTGTCTGAACTGGAGCCACAGCCTTTTTAGCTTATATAGCAGAAATCACATTCCCTTAATCATTTCAATGTCCTCCTCTTGACCTTCTCCAGCTCTTCCACATCATTTTGGAGGTGCAGAAACTCTTCATAGCCCTAAGGATGTGGGTACACTATGGTGTTGGCAGTTTTGCTAGAAAAAAATATGAACACGAGGCAACCTTCAAAATGAAAAGGAACAGTGGACAAGTGAAATAAAATGAGAAAACCAGCAAGAATGCCCTCCAAAAAGAAACAGGTATTTCTGTAGCTCAGTTGCTTGTTGTTGGCAGATGGATGGGATGTGAAAAACAGTTTACAACAAAAGCACATAATTCAAAATAAGAAGTTCTCTTCAGGTTACAAAAAAATAGAGATTCACCTGTTGTATTGGGCCAAGTAGCCTGTTCATCATAAAAAGCAGTTTCAAAATTACCTGGAAAGGGATGTGTCTTTAGTAGATTGATGCTGGGTTTGTTCCACCTGACTGTCCCTCAATAAAGGCTATAATTGCCTCTCATTACTAAGATCAGCTTTTGAACTACAGGGGTGTTAATTAAACCAGGGATATCTTCCCATTTTATAGCTTTAGTTACAGCTGATAAAGAGAAGGAAAGCTTCAGAAAATGTGATTTTCCAGATGGTTGCAGAGATGGCAGTTGGTGGAAACAGCTTTCACTTTGGGTTCTAAAGAAAATGATTATGGTGAAAAAAGATTTCTTTTGATATCGCTATATCCCTCTCACTAAAGATATCCACAGAGACAGTTTAGGGAGATTATAAAACATTAATATTATATACTTACACACTATCTCACAATTGAATATCTAAGATTTGTCACAGACTTTGTAATTACCTTGGGACTTGCAGCTCTCCCATAAGATAGGAATATATCCATATCCCTGTTCTACAGATAGTAAAGCACAGACATCAGCAGGCTATAACTTCTCTCCAATCCACACAGGTAGACAGAATATCCAGAAATTCTGATTTCTGTTCTGCCCCATGTCATATTCACTTTCCACAATATCAGATGAATGCCTTTTACGGTATTTTCACCATGAAGCTGGGGTAAAGAAAGGACTTTATTCAAGAAGCTGGAATAAGAATTTACAAATAGATTCGTGTACAGGGGATCAGAATCACATATTTCTCCAGTACAACAAAGGTTTAAAGAACAGACACCTTAGTCATTTCCTTCAACACTCTGAAATGAGGGGTTTCAAAATACACCAAAGAAAGACTTAACTCTCCATTACTTTAGCATTACAAAATCTATCCAGCAATAGACAGGGCAATGCATGAAAAGTAAACAGTACATGTTCTCTGAAATTCAGTAAATCTCAAATTCAAAACAAAGCACTATCTTCTTAACAGCAGAGACTGGCTCTGGGCAAAATGAGAAGGTCAGTAATTGCTAGAGGAAGAGGGGCACAGAGGGTCATTAATGCCAGAAAATAGCCCTCCACAGTGCACAGAATCAGTCTCCAAGCAGTTGGGTTTTACTTATGTCAAGCAAAGTCAGAAGCAGAAGCAAGTGCCTTGGTAGAAGATTTCAGATCCCAAAATTCAGCCTAACGTCCTCTACATGAATGTCACTGCCCTTTACCAGAGTATAAAAAGTTGACTCCATGTGAACCATAAGAAACACAAGGCTTAAAGAGAAAGAGAAATAGAAAAGTTAAACATGACACCGGTATTTCTCACTCTTCTGTAGTGAAGAAGAAAGAAGACCTTAAAAACCCTAAAATTAGGTATAGTAAATGCATCCCTTAAAAAGTCATGGGGCTGAGATATCAATGAGAAAGGTATATATGGAGCTTTACATTGGACCACACCTAGGTAAATACTACCTGTAATATATATAATATTATACATATTATTATTATAGATAAAATTTTAATGATCAAAGACAGTCTAAATACCTTTCACCTTGACTGCAAGTGATGTCATTAGTACTCTCTCTCTCTTTTATAATTCGTCCCAGCTGTTTAGGCTTTCAAGACAAATCTCGTCTGGGTTGGCAACAAGAATAGTTTGGCATGAAGAAATGTCATGTCTCAGAGTGTTACTCCAATTCTGGACTGCAGAGCACCAATGCACTGCAAAAGCCATCTCCTCCCAGTTATGGAAGGGCTGGGCTACAGACATCAAGCAGAACTGAAGGAAGGTGTAGGCAAGGGAGGCAAAGGATCGGACCGTATGGGCTGACATCAAATGAGTATTCTGTTGACGTCTTTCCTGCCTTTGATTTTTCCAGGCCTTGTCCATTCTCCAATGGAAAACTCCCAAGACCACGTGTGTCTATATGTAATTCTAGAAAAAAAAGGATCACTGTTTTCTTCTTTGTCAGGGTGTAGCTCTGAAAGTCTGTGGAAAACCTACTCAGCTTCCTTCAAAGTTTATTTTTCTATGGTGCCTTTCAGATGAGACACAGAGAGAAACTTCTCATTACAATCTATGTGAGGTCCATTCAGGAGGACGACCCAAATAGCTTTCTCAGCAGATGGCTGAGGAAGAGTATAGGACTGGTATAACGGTGTGTGACATTTCCCCCAAGTGTTCATGTACCTAGATTCATCATTTGGAGCTCAGGGTTTTCCTAAGCCAGAGAGTTTCACTGGTTTTAGTAACACACAGTGGATTTCCCCTCCATGTGCTCGGGCATTGTCCCTTGAATGCATATCAACTTTTACCACCTGCAACACCCTGTGGCAACAAGGTCCATAGATCAACCATGTGTTCTTTAAAAAAATTCACCATCACTTCTTTATTTTGAACTTCTCTCCCATTACTATCACCTGATGTCCCCACCTCCTCTGTGGAAGAGTCTGGGAACAATCATTCCCTACTCCCCTTCTTTGTGTCACTCATGGTTTTATAGACATTTTATCAACAAAAATGCCATGCCTGCACTGAGGCCCTAAGCAAGTATCTCAGGCACCGTGTAGCCTCATGTGGTCAGTCCAGCTTGCTTAGATCTACATCAGTGATCTTTGCACCACGGTCAGCTGCAGGGTATAGACAGGCCCATGAAGTCTCTTGAATAACAGTTTGCTTCTGGACAAAAAGGGCCTCAGTAAAGATT